ATCTCGGCCGTGGCGTACTTGGGGATCATGGAGTCGGTGGTGAGCTCGGGGTGCAGGATGCAGCCGTGCGTGTAGGCGTCCATGGGCAGCGAGTCCAGCAGCTCACGGTACTGCAGCACCCGGGCGTGCTGGGCGCTGCCCACCTCGGGCATCAGGGCCACCACGTGCTCTGCGAGGCACAGCCGGGGCTGGACCAGGGGCATGGCCCTGACTCGGCCACCCGCCGCTGATTCAGAAAGGCCAACCTCTGGCACCCCCACTTCCAACCCAGCACCCTGGAAACCCAAAATATTGTGGCCCAGAGGTCGCCAGCCCACACCCTTTCCCCAACTCCTTGAGATAAAGTCCTTTTCCAGCTGACAGGGGATCCTAAGGGTCCAGCCCATCTACCCCTCCTCCCTGGAGCCCTCCAAGCTGTCCTCTGAGGGGCAGGTGGGAGCCTGGCTCCTTCTCGCCAGCCTTCAACAGAAGCTGCAAACCTGGATGTTTAAAGCACAACTCTCTCTGATTTGTAAATGTTGGCAACCAATTCATATTCTTTTTAAACAGTGTGTGTCTGGGCCCTGATCCCCTCTTAGCTGCTGTTTGCAGCCTCTGCTGTGGGCTGTGCGCTCCTGAACCTGAGCAAGGCCAGAGGGGGGGCAGGGGTATGGGATTCTATGGGGTTCTGGGGTGTCAGCCCTGTTCTTGTCTGCAAGGTTCTAGGGTATCTGGGCCCATGTCTGCGGACTTCCTGGGAATCTATGGCCCTGACTATGCTTATAAGGTGTCAGGGGGCTGGGCCAGCTGGTGTCCTGGCATCCCTGGAAGATCCCTCCCCTGTCTTTGGGGACTTAGAGAGCAGGTGAGGTCTTGCTCATGCCCGAGGGGCTCCCAAGGGCCTGTGGCCGTGCCTGTGACTCGAGTTCTTGAGGAAGGAGCCCGGGAGCTTCAAGGGGGAGGGTGTCTGGACCATGCCCTTTCCTTGCAGTACTAGGGAGGGGGTTTTGTGGGTCCCTGGAGACCTGAGGCTATGCAGTTCCTAGCAGGTATCTGAGCCCTGCCTGTAGCCCCATGGTTCATCTTGGGAGAGGCTGGGTCATGCCCATGGCCCCAGTGGGTTTCCCCAGGCTTCCCAAGGCTCCGGACCCCCACCTGAGCCTGTAGGACCCCTGGTGGTGTGGCAGCAATACCTCCTGTGAAGGTGCGCTCCACATAGTCAATGATCTGGTCGTAGTCGCTGATGATGTTGTCGCGATGGATGATGACGGGCACCTCCTCTCCCAGGTTGAGCCGCATGAACCAGGGCTCCTTGTGCTCACTCTGTGGCAGGCTCACATCCCGCTCTTCACATGCCAGGCCCTTCTCTGCGATCACCAGCCGCACCTGCAGGCGCCAGGGTCAGAGCGGGGAAGGCGGGTGGACACGCAGGGACACTCTGCCCAGGTGGGATGGGGCATGTGGGGAGGGAGGTCAAAGTCACACACAGGAGGGGACACTGTTTCTTCCAGCCCATTCTTGGGCACTTGGGTAGGGGGGGGCTATCTTACAGCTAGACATAACTGGGGATAAAATTCCCAGTTATGCTGTGTGAGTTTGGACAGATTCCTTAAACTTTCTGAGCTTCAGTTTCCTTATTTGTAAAATGGAAGTGGTAATAGTACCAATCCAGTGCCTGGTATATAGATGGCACTCAGTTCCCAATTATCATGATCATGACTGGACTCTCAGCCTGTCCTCCAGGGGTGGAGTTGGCCAGGAAATTTGCAGATATTCTTATCATCAGCAGCTAAATTTTCCAAATTATTTGAGGGGAAAAAATGAGGCAAAAAATAATTTGCCAATATCGATTGAGCCCTTTATTGTCCCCAAATGCCTTCCCATCTGGTTGCTGGGCGCTCATTATAGCCTCCCAGAAGAGAACAAAGTAGGGACTATCTCCCTATTTTTCTTGATGAGAAAACTAAAGCCCAGAGAGAGTAAGTAACTTACCCAAAATCACATAGCCATTTATTTAGCTGCAGGCCTAAACCTGCAAGCAATGGTTCCTGACCCCAGACCAGTGCTCTCTGCCCTGGGGACTCCTTCCAGGGAGTCTTGGGTCTGCCCCCCTCCTTAGTCTTTCCCTATGTCTCTAGAGGGTCCCAGACAAACATTTGAGCTGGTAGAAGCTAATGGAGCCTTGAGGTGGGGGCATGTCCTGACCCAGCCCAAAATTTCTGAGCTGGAAAACAGCAATTGCCTGGTCCAACTGTCCCCTTCCTTTGGACTGAGACACAGAAAGAAGGCTGGACTTCTCCAAGCCCTCCCAGCAAAAAGATGGCAAGTGACTCCAACCCTCCCGAGCATCAGTGTCCCCACACATCCAATAGGAAGTTCTGGGAACTAGGCATCCCCAGCCTCTCTCCTGGATGTCAGGAGTTAAAAACTCAGAAGGGGCAGCATGGGGTCATGTCCAGAATGTTGGACTTGGTGCCAGACTGTGTCAGTTCAAATCCCTCTAGCACTTACTTGCTGGATGACTTGGCTTTCCAAATAGCTTTACATCTGTGTGCCTCAGTTTCCTCACCTGTTCAAGGGGAGTCCCACTAGCAATTCCCTCAGAGGGCTATTGTGAGAATTAGATAATTAGACCCTGTGGAACAGTCCCTGGCATACAGTAGAGGTAATGTGTCTTAGCTACTTGCATTAGACTACATTTTGGAGGCAGGCAGACTTGGACTTAATGCCTGGTTCTGTTGTTTATTTGCTGCGTGACCTTGAGCAAGTCACTTGACCTCTCTGATCTTTGGTTTCTGTGAAATGAGGACTGTAATCCATTCCTTCAAGACTGGCTCAAGGTTGAGATGGGATGATGTAGGTCAAGTCCCAGTACAGGAGGTTAATAATACATGGTTTCCAACATCACTATTATCACACACACACACACAGACCACCCACAACCTCTGGTTGATGTCCTAGAGTGCCTCATGCCCCATGCTCACAGCTAACATGAACACCCTTTCTGTTTAGTGAACTGTGGGGAGGGAGAGGTAACTGGCACCCGAACTTTCAGCACTCATTCCCCAATTCATTGGCTCCATTAGCCAGGAGCAGGTCCTGCAGATGGTACTGGGAGGCAGGCACTCAAGTCCTCACCATGGCTCAGTCACATCAATGCTGTGTGACCTTAGAGCTATCACTGTCCTTTCCTGAGCCTCCTCTTTTTCATAAAACTGAGGGGCTGCAGCCCTGCAGGGAGCTGACACTACATTCAGACCATGCAGGAGACAGGCCGTGGGAGGGAACTGCTGGGCCTGTCTGAGACGGGGAGGAACTGTGGCAGAGAGTGAGCACCTGGGGGTGGCATCTGTTGGGTCTGGGTGTGTGCGTGTGTGTGCCTGAGCCTGAGTGGCAACTGTGTGAATGAGCAAATGTGTGTGTCTGTGTGTGCATATGTGTGCATGAGCGTGTACAAGTGAGTGCACCAGTAAGTGTGAGTATTCAAGTATTGCATGAACACGGGTGTATTCGTGTGGATATGAGTGAGCGTGCATGAGTGAGAGCGCCTGTGTAGTGACCGTGCCCTGGAGAAGCCCCAGAGCTGTTGAGGCTGGAGTCTGGAGCCAAGCTGCCCCGTTCCCTTCCTGCCAGTCCTGACATCCTCCTGCCTTCCAGATCAGCCTCCGCCCAGTCATCTAGCCCGGCCAAGCTGGGGCCTCTGAATGGGTGGAAACAGAAACCAAACCAAGCCCTTGCCCTTGGCAAGTCCAGACATTTGGCCTCTGTCCTGGCAGGGCATCTGCCCTGCCCTGAGATTCCAGTGAGGTTGCCAGGTGGGGCTTCTGCCTGGGGAGGGGACTATCTTTAGAGGCTTAACAGTCCTGCTTGGAGCTGCCTCAGGTCACCTCGGCAAGCTGCCAAGGAGACTTTCTCCTTTAGCTGAGCCGAGGGCCAGAGCCCGTGCGCCATCCTGCAGGGGAGGGGGTTCAGGGGGAAGTCAGGCCCAGGGGAAGGGCATGCAGTCACCAAGGCCATCTGCCATCTCTGCCTCCTGGGGGTTGGAGCAGACTTAGGTGGTCACTACTCAGTGTGACCAGATATCAACCATCTCTGGGCAAATGCTCTCCATTGTCATGGTCAGGGACTGTCCCTCCTCACCCTTGTTTATGAGGCAACTGTGATGGGTTAAGTTGGTGTCTCTTCCCAGCCATTTAGTTGCGGTGTGACTTTGCAAAAGACACTTAGAGTCTCTGAGCCTTAGTTTATTTATCTCAAATACCTTAGTTTTAAATTTTATATTTTAGAGCAGTTTTAGGTTTACAGAATCAAATACCTTTTTTTATGTAACATCTATGGCTTACAAATTCATCACTTTCGATACTTATTTATCAAGTGCCTACTCTGTGCCAGGTCCTGTTCTAAGTATGGGAGACTCAGCAGTGAACAAGGATTCCTGCTCTCAGGGAGCTGACATTCTAGTGGGGCAGAGAGATGATAAACAGTTAATATGATAAGATATGTCAAAAGATTGTGAGTGCAACAGGAAAATGAAAAAAATGCATCAGGTTAAGGGGAATTGGGGATGCCAGGGTATTAGGGAGACAGGTGATAATTTTAAATAGGGTAGTCCATTAGGGCCAGCCTCTCTAAGAAGGTGACCTTTGAGCAAAGGTTTGAATAAAGTGAGGAAGTGGTCCACACAGGGATCTGGAGAAGACTTCCAGGGAGAGGGACAGCCAGTGCAAAGGCCCTGCGCTGGGAGCATGTCTGAAGTGTTTGAAAGGCCATGTATGAGGAGGCCAGTGTGGCTGGAACAGGGTGGACGGGGAAGACCAGAGGGGAAGAGGTCAGAAAGGATCATGCACAGGGACTTATAATTGAGGGTCTATGAATAAATTCAGAGAGTCCTTGAACTAGGATGGGAAAATTACATGTTTATTTTCAGTAATCTCAAACAGACATTTAGCTTTTTCTTCAGTTATGAGTGTGGGCAACAAAGTACGGTAGTGTTAGCAGTGCCTAGAATATTGTCACCACTAGGAATCAGATATCTTCATCACTTCACAGTTGTGGCAGTTACACTTATCACGGCTTCAGTATCACAGCTGTTATCGGTCCTGCCACTAGGTTGTGTTACATAATGGGTTAATATAGAAACATGTCATTATATAACAAATTTGTCTTGAAAATATGCCAATAGCTGCACTTCAATACTATCGGTTTTCTTTCTAATCTAATAATCCTATGTATTTTATTTTGTTCAATTAAAAGCATTATTCTGAGAAAGGTCCAGAGGCTTCCTCCGATTGATGAGGGGTCCATGACCCAAGCAAGGTTAGAATCCTACAGTAGAGCTGCAGCCATTATGAGGACTCTGGCTTTTTCCTGGAGGGACCTGAGGAGCCACTGCAGGCTTCTGAGCAGAGTGGTGAGATTGCAGTTTTCACCTGTGGGCCTCCTGGAGGTGGGGTATGGACAGGGCTGGGGGCCAGTGCCCAAGAGCTTGAGAGGCAAACCAGGGTGGGAGGTAGAGGTCATTTACTTCCCTTCTGCCACATCTGGGAGGGGGCTTCTGGGGGACCTGCTCCATCTTGAGTGTTAGGACTGGCCCATGGCGGGACTCAGACCTGGGCCTCTTACTCCTGGGGGCCGAAGGCTGGGCCAGGGGCTCCCCACAGGTACACCCAAGACAAGGGCAAACCCTGAGAGGCTGAGGACAACCTTGAGCTAGGCTTGCTGCAGAGCCAGGGACAGCCCTCAGAAACTCACCCCAGTGGAAATAACAACAGTAACAAGAGCTGACCCTTACATAGCACTGTACTAAAACCTTTACATGTATTAACTCATCCCTATAAAAATCTAGGTACTAGTATTATCCTCATTTTACAAAAAAGAAAACAGGTGCAGAGATAGTAAGTAACTTGTCCAAAGTCACACAACTAATAAGTAGCAATCTTGGATTTTAAAGAACTGGCTTGTGAGAGGACAGAAGGATTCTGAGAGCTGGGAGCACGCAGAGGTAAAGCAGTTCTCCCTGCCTGGGGATGGAGGGAGGCAGGCTGCACCAAACATCTCATCCATTCTCCTGTTGTGGAAACTGAGGGTCAGGGACGGTCAGGACTTACTTGAGGTCACATAGTCAGTGAGTGGGAGTGTCAGCAGTAGAGTGCTGGTGTCTTGACTCCCTGCACGTGTTCCCCCTCCAAACCTCACTTCCCCAAAGGAGAAGGGGTAGGGGCAGAACAGCCTCAGAAGCACCCTAACATCTACACCATGCAATTAGAGCCTCCTCCGAACCCTGTGGCCCCAAATGATTACCTGTGATGGTGCCTAAAAGTTCACTAGTAGAGTGCAGTTTTTACAGCGTTGAGCTAAGTGTGTCACCGTGCACATCGTTTGAGCTTCATAGCCCTGTTCATAGCTCTCTGCACCCTCCTGAGCATATGAGGGAGCTGAGACTCAAGAGAAGTGAAGACACTTGCACAAAGTCACAGAGCTAGGAAGTGGCAGAGGTGGGGTTTGATCTCGTGTCTGGTACGTGTAGCTGCACTTACTGAGCACCTTCTGTATGCCAGGTTGCTGTGCTAGGTGGTTATCGTGGATACATTTCTGAATCCTCACAACGACCCTATCAGGGAGATGCTATTTATATTCCCAATTTATAGATGTGATACCAAGGTATGGAGTTTAAGCAGTCTGCCCAGGATTATCCAGTTGGCCGGTGGTAGAGCTAAGACTGAAGCCTGGGCAGTCTGGCCTCAGAGCCTGGGCTCAGGACCCCTCACTGTCCTGTTGCCCTCTGGCTCTGGAATAGTCCCCAGATGCCCATGGAGCCACCAGCACTCCTGGGGGGGAGGCTGTTTCTGCTATTAATAGTTCATGTGCCATTAAGAACAGGCTTCTCACACGTTCCACATAGGGAAGTGCTCCCTGCATGCAGGCAAGGCCCTTCAGGACTGAAGGGATGAGAGGAAACTCACCTGCTAAGCTCCTACTACATGCCAAACACTTAACATATGTCCATGTCCTCTTAAACCCCCAGGAATTCTGCAGGGTAGGATGCAAAAGTCCCCTTTCATAGATGAGAATATTGAGACATAGAGAGGTAAGGTGACTTATCCAAGGTCACACAGTCGGTAGCACTCAAGATGAGACCGGAACTCAGACTGTCTGACTGCAGAGCCCATGCCCTTTCTGCCAGGCTGCATTGCCTCTAGAACCCACCATGGATCCCTGAGGAGGGAGGCCTTGTCAGGGGAGGCAGGAAGATGCTCAGCCTGCTTTGGTCACAAATGGGGTTGCAGTGTGTGGTTCCATTCCTGACTAGGGGGCCACTTTAGTCCTGAGCTCAGGCTGAATAGAAAATATTCCATGGAGGGAGAGCAGGAGGTTCCCTCGGGGGGTGGTAATGAGAAGTGCCATCCCTCAGCCTCCCATCCAGTCCCCACCACTGGGGCCTGGCTCCTGAGATTCTGGGTGGGAGGAGATTCTAACATCTGGAGGTCAGGCTGATTCATCCCCAAACCCCCAATGACTTGCATAGAGCCTGGCACATAGTAGGTGTTCAGCACACATGTGTAAAATTTACAGACAGGTTCCAGTGTGACCTTGGTTAACCTGACCTCTCCTGTACCTAGTACTTTAGCGACATCATAACACCCATTATTAACAGAGCCTTGACTCCACGCCAGGCACCGCTATCAGCACTTTTTGTACACCATCTCATTTCACCACTACAATAGCCCTCTGAGGAAGGGACTGCCATTTGCTCCATTTTACAGAGTATAAAACTGAGGCTTTGGAGAGGCAAAGTGACCTGTCCAAAGCCCTAGAGTAAGTTATTGGAGAAGATGGTAATCCCACTGGGAGTTGTCTGGCCTCCGAGTCTATACCCTAAACTCAAAGGGATTACTCAAAGGGAGACTGTTGGACTAGCTTCATCAGCATCACCTCGTAGCTTGTTAGAAACGCAGCACCTTGGGCTCCACGCCAGAACTACTGAGTCAGAATCTCTGTGGTGGGACCCAGCAGTCTGTGCTTTAACCAGGATCATGCAGTGATTCCAATGCACGATCCAGCTGGAGCAGGGCCCGTCTAGAACAGTAAGTCACACTGCCTCTTCAACCACCCTCAGCAACCCTGACGCGGGCTGGAATTAGAAGTAGCTGTTATTATTATCCCATTTCCCAGAATATAAAACTGAGCCTGGGCCAATTCCAAGGCCCTTTGTCTTTACAGAATCCCTTTCTCCATCTGAAAAATGAGTGAATGGAAACAAAAGGATCTCCCAGGGGCAGGCAATGGGGCCCGAAAGCTGGGCCCTGGCCATGGTGCTGAATCCGTGGCCGCACAGGACAGCCGCCCGGGTGAGAGACTGCGCCCCTAGAGGCGCTCCCATCTCACGGCGCAGCGCCGGGCCCTCGCCCCCAGGAAGCGGGAACCCCAATAACAGCACCAGGCTGTATTACGAGCTGTCCCCCAGGCTCCCCCGAGTCTGTGCCTTTAAGAGCAAACACAGATCTTCCATCTGGGCTGGTCTAAGAAGATGAGTCCACTCCTCCCTCTCCAGCAAGGGGGCTGGGAGCGGAGGGCCAGGGAGGAAGGCCCCCAGCCGCGCAGGGGGGCCGAGGAGCTGAGACCCCAAACGCCTGCAGTACCCGGGACAGCAGCTCAAAGGGAGGGGCTGCGACGGGACCGCGGGGGCTGCAGGCTGAGCCCGGGAAGCGCGCCCCCCGCCCCCGCCCGCAGCAGCGCCCCTCCGCAGGCCGCTTCCCCGCGCTGCCCGTTCCCTTCCCCTGGCCTTTGTCTCTCCGCTCAGCCCTCGCACAGACCTGGTCTTTCTGGGAGGGAGACAGGAGAGATATTCCTAGAATTGGGGACGGTGCTCCTGGGGCCCAAGGCAGGCAGAGCGGCCGGGCGCCTCGGTCCTCCGGCCGGAGACCCCCAGTTCCCCCCTCCAGCCTGACACCTCTTGCTCAGGCCCCTTAAGCCCCGGGGGTCCCTCCCCCAGGCCTCCTGGCCCCCGGGCACACCCCGAGCCCCCCTCCCTCGGGCGCTACCTTCTGCGAGCTGAAGGACTGGGTCCAGTGGTACAGAACCAGGCTCTCCTTGGGCCAGTGGGAGGGGCTGGCCGCCTGGGGCGCATCGGGGGCCTCGGCGGGCTTGGCCGCGTCGCTCTCCAGCGCCGAGATGGGCCACCAGCTGCAGTTGGTGGGGGTCAGGTTGTTGGGGGTCGCCATGACAGCCGGGGCTCGGAGGGAGGACCGGCGGCTCCGGCGGCGGCGGCTCTCTCGCCCCGCATCACATGGCCGC